CTGCTTTGAATATTCCTCCTGGTACAAGTTGCTGCCACATGAAGTAAAACCTCTATCCTCCCATGGCTTAAACTGTCAATGTATTACCATGTCCAGCTGTTACTGTGACCCTATCAAGTAAGCAGTGCAGAAATTAGGATTTCAAGTTCAGGACATTCTGTCTCAGGTTCAAAATCTGGAAGATTTTGAAAGTTATTAAAAAGGTCTAGGAAGAAAAAAGACTTTCTGTGTGCAGGGAAGAACTTTGCTGATGTATCCTTGGAATTTCCAACCCTCCACATCTCCACACTGAGCTGGTGGCTGGGCCAGTGCTGATGGCCATGAATTCTGTGCTGCCTCCTGGGACACGAGTCAGCTGGAGAGCAGAAACACCACTGGCAAGGCAGTGAGGATTCTCCTGCTCCTTGCCAGGGAGGCCCAGAGTAACCCAGAGCTGTCAGAGCACTTGTCTTGGTTTCTCTTCTGTACCCAGCTGCTGAGCTTTGCAAGAGTGGAATTGGATTATTTCTGAGACCTCCCATCCTCTCTCAGATTTGGACAGAACTGACCACACATATCAAATATAACAAGGAACTCCTGACCTTGTTAGGTGAGAGACCTAACAGAGAGCATAGCCACAAACGTTCTGTCTGCTTTGAAGGTCAGACAAAAAGAAAATCTTTTCTGTATGAGCCAAGATTAAAAATCTTAAATTGGTGCCACTAATCAGATTTTAACACTTCTGATGGATTTAATCTTCCATTTTCTTCTGCAGCTAAAAGCACCGTGGAACATCCACTTATTTAAGCAGAATGAATTTAATTTTTTCTTATCTTGATAAGTCTATTTGTAAGCAATCAAGAAAGAAATCAACTGTGGTCTAGAGATTAAAAACAGAAGTTTCTTGACAATTGAACTATCAGGCTTTAAGTAACCGAATTCTTGAGACATTTTTGTTCAATCTCTAAATGTTTCTGCGAACTTGAGACAAAAATTATAACAACCAAAGTAGTAAATTGCTGAGTGATGGTTCAGTAACTGAAGCCCTGCCTTGCAAAGAGCCAGAGCGGTGCTAATGAGGAGAAGGAGAAAGAAAAAAACCATAACCCCACTCCTGTCAGATGAAAGCCTGTAGTGCCCAAAGCTGAGGAAGGATCTTTTCTAAGGTAAAATAGAGCCACTTTAGTCTCTGCAAGGATAGTAAAGCCAGGAGATAACTGGCAAGGTCACCACGAAAGGATGATCAGTGCAAAATACAGGGGTGTTACAGAGAAGCAGCCAATGCTCAGGGCGTGTTTTTCTCCCTGTGGCTGCTGCACCACCAAGGTGCTGTCCCTGTGTCTACCCTGCCCTGGCTCACTCAATTGATCTCCTTGCCCCAAGGCCTGGGAGGATTTCTTCAGGCTGGCTTGTCAGCTTATTCCAGAGTAACAATCTCTTCTCTGGCATGAACTGTCATGGCTCCACCAGTGCTCTGAAAGTGCAGGTATTGGCAAATTTTGCATTATGTACAGTTTGTCAGACACTGTCTCACTGATGTGACCACCACTTCCCCTCTCTTTCCCTCCTACTGCTTCCCAACAGAAAACATCACCAGGCAATTCTTAATCCCTCTCCCACCACTTGCCCTTGCTTCTCCCAAAAAATATCGGGGAGTCTGCACCTTCCTGCACTCTCCTCTCCAAGCTCCCACAGGTATCTCAAGCCGAAGGCATGCCATGTCAGTCAGACAGACTGCCTCCTCCTTCACACAGATCTGCCCCCAAAGAGCAGGAAGTGGGGAACAGAAACTGGGAACCATGTAGATTCTGCACCCTGACAAACCAGCCAGGAAGTGTGGGGTGTACATCTAGGCCAGTACACCCTCTGGAAACTCATGTCTCTGCTCACTCCTGCTTTATCTTTTGCTTTCTGCATCAGAAGCTTTCAGGACAAGAAGCTTTCCCACAGCCCTCCCTAATGATGATGAGGACCCAATGATAAGTCTGTGACAAGTCACAGCTACAAATCCCATCCAACCCTGAGGCTCTTTCTAGTCCATATGTTCTTCCATGTGCATGGCAGCCTGCCTTGGCACAAGGGTGCTGCTGTAAACACATGCCCGGGGCAGAGGGCTGGCACTGGCATCTCAGAGATCAGCTGTAATGTCAACAGACTCTTCAGCACGGATCTATGCGATGCCTCCACAATGGGAGCACAGCAACAGAACAAGTAAAACCTTCTGTGACCAGCAAAGCAGCTGCACACACAAGTTTAGATGGGAACAACTTTCAGCTGAGCACCATTCTGGATCCAGTGAGCACTGTCTGTCAGGATGATCCCATCATGGGAAGAGTTTGCTGTAAGTTTTGCTCACCCAGCAATACCTTCTGTGTGAACAGAACAACATTTTTGTTTCTGCTGGGAAACCTGAATCAAACAAACAATGGGGGGCATGGAACAGACCTCCTTGCTCCTTATCCCGATTAAAATTCTTCAATACTGTCCCCAGTTTCTTTACTTGAAACAAGGCCTCTCAGCTCCCTCGAGAGGTGTTTTCCCAGCATGAGCCACCAAGCACTTGCCAGCTTCAAGGGAGCTGGCAATAACTCCACAAAGCTGTTCTGAACACTACACAGGAGGAGGAGGCAAATCAAATAGACAAGAGGAGAAAGCACACATCTGTCACTCTGATGAGTGGGTGACTCTTTGAGAAGGGCCAGCACTCTCATGGCCAACCATCATCAGTCTCTCCCAAGTGTGCTGAGAGGAGATGATACCTGCAAGATCTCAGCAGAACTTAGGAGCAGACAGGACAGGCCAGGATGCTCCAATTTAAACTAATTATCCAGGTTGCTGTGGAAACCTCAAGGCTGGGAAAGAAGCACTTTGAAAACAAACCACAGTGAAGCAGATTTCCTATCCACTCTGAAAAGGTTTATGACCAGAATAGGCAAAGTGGGCGTTAAATGCTTTTGAGCTAAGGCAATAGTAGCAGCAATTGAGGAGGAGGCATTATGGATTCACAGCACCCATCATACAGGCATCTTTTATCCCCAACCCCAGGAGAACAGTCCCCTGTATTTTGCCAACACTACAGTATGAAAATTCTGAAATTTTAACTCCTTCCTGGCACCCTGTCTCTTTCTCCATTGCTATTGTAGCTATAAATTACCATTTGTAGCCATAAATTACTATGTGTAACTATACTAACCCTGTAAGTAATGACAAACAGAAAAGACACAAGTAGAATTCATTTGATACTGACGAAGTAAAATTATCCATGGCTTCAAAGCTAAAAAAAAAAAAATAACCCAAAAAGTTCTTTTTCAAAAAAAAAAAAAAAAAAAAAAGACCAAAACCACCACAAAACAAAACCCAACAAAACACAAACAAAACAAAACAAAAAATATCCCAAAAACCCAGAGCAGAGAAGTGACAGAACTTTGCTATTGATTTCAAATGGTGTGTGCTCAGATCAACCCACTGTGGCCCAAAAGTGCAATACTGAATCAGATACACTCCAACCTCACCAAGAGTTTGTGCTTGAATATTCAAGTATTCTGTGACAAAATGATTACAAGTAGCATTAGGACAGAGTGATACCTGACACCAGTGTGGTTAATTAATAATGTTATTGCTTGTATAGCTGTTAAATAAATGAATGGTTACATATGGACCCAGTTGTGGGGTTTTTTTTTTTTTCAGAACAGCTCCATCCTGAATGCTCCCTGAGGAAGGCAGGCTACTGTCCATCCTTACCCAAGACAGTTTCCATTCATCTGCTCCTTATCATCAAATCTGAGGGCCATTACATTTTGGAAAAGGTGATGGCTGTTTTGGAAAAGGGAATCTTACCTTTCAAATCCACCTATTTGAAAGTCAAACAGTTTTGAAGAACACAGTTTTTGAGCATTTTTTGGAAGAGACACATACTCTGCTGAAATCTTCAAGGACCCTTCCAACCCAAACCATTCTGTATTTCAAAGAAAAGGAAAAAAGTAAACCAACAGTTTCTATCTTCCACATAAAAACAGTGACACAGAGGTGTTCTGTAAGCAAAGAAGCTCTCAGCAGCTGCTGCAGCCCCTCAGATGGACAGAATCTGGTGCCAACCACAAAAACAAAACTCTCAGGGCAGCCCCCTGCCCTCGAATCCTCTGCAAACATATAAATAGTATATTTTACTTTACTTCAGTGTACTCTGATTTTAAATTAGTTTTCAAAAAGTTTTTGGCTTGGTCATCACAAGAAGAAGGAAGAAAGCAAGCTTTTTAACTGGAAAGTAATTATTTTGGATGACATTTTTAGGAATACTGTTTTCAAATCCATGTAACTAGGGGAAAGGTTCCTCCACCTATCTTTAAGTTAAAGAATGAAACCTAACTGCCTATTTACCATTCTAAACATGCTGCCCTTTGCACCTGACTGCAACAGCAGAAACAGCTCAACAGCAGTGCAAGAAATGTGCAAGCTGCCCGGGTCTCTAGTGAAAAGTCTTTAAGTGCCATGGGAACAGCATCAGCTCAAGAACTCTCAAATCTCACTTTTCTGCACACCCATTTTGAGAACTCAGCAGAAGTGCCTGTAGCATTCGGGAAGAAGTTTCTAATGACAGGAAAGTCCTTGCAGAAAAGTCTCCTGAGGAGCTCTGGGTCTGGAATCTCCTCTGCCCAAAGCCATTTCCTGCTGTCTTGGCAGACAGGGGCTGCAATTGGCTCCTGGCTAGCTGATTTTTCTGGCGAAGAGGTGGGGGAAGGAAGGAAGGACCTACAAGCTCCCAGCTGACAAAGAAACTTGACCCCTAGGCCAACTGCTCCCCTTGCAGCCAGTACAGGCTGGGAAATGATGCCATACACCTTCTCCTCACTGTCAAACAGATTTGGATACAGTGAAGCTGACACGTGAGAGAAAGCAGAATGCAGCAGTCTCCAGCAACAAAAGGAGCGCTGGAGGACAGAACATTTCTCCTATAAATCATTTCATTTCTGGGGAGGAAAACTTGGTCTTTTCCCAAAGGAAGTAAAGAAACTAGACCAAAATTTGCTAACATTACTATATTGAAACCAAGAAACAGAAGTGAAAAACTGCTCTTCCACCTCTTCCACAACAGTATCAGCCTCTAGGGTCCTGCATTAGTTATGGGCCATAGATTCACTGAATTCAAATGACTTGCAATTCCCACAGACTGAGGTTTGGGGGTTTAAAAGTTTCCAACTCATCCCCATCTCTTACTCTTTCTTGCAGCCTGGCTGTTCTTAACACAGTGAAAACAAATGGAGCTTATATGAACTGATACAGGCAAAAGTGTCTTCTCAGAATGCCTTAACCAATTAGCACTGTCCCTCAGCTAAGCACTCCCACTCTCTGTCAGAACTGCCAAACCTGGACACACATACAGGAATATGCACAAAGCTCCAATGACACGAAGAAAGTAAATATAAAAATAAGTGTCTGCCTCCTTCAACTCCATTTCCCATTAAATATTTCATAAAGCCTAAACAAAATATTCAAACACAAGGAAATAATAAAAATAGTCCAAAAACATTTCTGTACAAATTGAGATGAAAGTGAAGACATCATTAGATAATGGAGTTAAGTTTTCTAGTAACATTCTTTCATTTTAGAAGAATAATGTATGGTGGTTTAGGAACTTAAACCACAACAAATACAGATATTTTCTCAACACCAATTTATTCTTACAGTGAAGATTAGCTTGCTTAACAAAGCTAATGTGTTACAAGGCATAGAGTATTTACCTGTGCTTAGATCCTACTGCAGGCAGGCAGTGAAGATGGACCAAACCTATGATTTGAACCTGTACAGTGATGATATTTAGCTGCAGTAAGAACTTAATCACATAGGCAGCACTGCTGACTTAACATCCAGACTGCAGCCATGAGCCCGCTGCTTCCCAGCAGCAAGTGAGGCGCAGCAGGCAAACCTGAAGGATTCCAGCAAGTTACCCTGGAATCTGGTCTGAGGTGCTGACTGCTGATCTGTGGCAGCAAAGGCTCAAGAGACAACCCTGTGAGTGATATTCTTTAATGCAATACGCACTGACCCAGAAGCAGGGTCATCAGATGTCTCTGTTGCTTGCCTTTGCCTTGTCCTGTCTATGTGGATAAAAAGTTAGGATATAGTCTGACCACAGAGTGCATGGCAGAAGAGAGCCTGGACCCCTGCTCCACTAGACACCAGTATAATTCAAGTAGTTATTTAAGTTATGAAACTGATTGCTTAACTAGAAAAAAATTCTGCAACCTACAGATAAAAAGCAATGCACCACCCTTTGGTGAAATGAGTAATACCCAGTGATCATCCTCAAGTGCAGCTTTCTCTTTTCTGTACAAACACACAGAGATGGCTTTAGATGACAGAATCCCACCTTGCCATTACTTCCAACAGAGATCACGACTTGGGAGTGAGTAAAGGTGCAAACTATCCAGCAGACACTGACTCTGTCTGCTCCAGTTGGGACCTCTCAAATCTTTCACGTGCTTTGTGCTCTTTTAAGAATAATCACTGCTCACAAACTTAAAGCCTGTGATTTAATATCATCTAATAACATATAATTTCTGTCCACATAACACAGGCAGCTTCTGATTGCCAAAGATCTTCATAATATCAACTTTTTTCCCCATGACTTCAAGGAACTCTTTTAAATCTGTAGCAATCTAAGGCTCTAGATCTGCTGTGGGTCCAGATATCCAGCAATGTCCAAAGTGGCTCTTCACTTCCAAACTCCATCAGGTTCTGGATAAATGATCCTAAATGTCAAGTTTATCCGTTCATCTCTAGAATGATACTCCTTAGGCACTCGATGCTGTAAGTGACATTAGGAAAAAAGAAAAAAGCATGAGGTTGTGCATTTAAAATACAGGTAATCAAACAATGACTAAACCCTTCATTTCCTGTGATGCCTGTTTTATTCGTATTTCTAAACACTTAAGTAGGGTAAAATAATCAGGTTCTGAATGCTCAGGGCCACTACAAACAAAAAGTCTTTGTACATTACTGTAGAATTCTTAAACTAAGTTACAACTTGTTGATGTTCTAAATTTCTAAATTGATTTTGTTCTTTTCACTGCAGGCTGCAACCTTCGCTGCCGAACATTAATGCTGGAACATCTGAACTGATTCCTCCTGCATCCCTTGGCACATGAAAACAAATCCATTGTTTCTGTGGGTGCTTTCAGATTCTGAGTCAGAAAGTAATACTAATGCCTTGGAAAGCAATTGTGCCACTGGAAGCAGAATGTCCCATACGTTCATGGGAGTGCCTCAGCTTATCTGGACAACTGCATTGCAAGTAAAGCATATAGCAATGTCAAGGAGTTCTCACCTGCCAGTCCTCCTGGGTGGCTCCTTCCATCACCAACAGACTCCCGTGATCAAGTGGGATTCTGAGTCTTTCTACATAAGTATAGTCTCCATCCTCTTCCTAAAGAGAAACATCAGACACTGAAGAAGCAGGCATGTGCATTTAGTAGAAAACCAGTTCTTTACAGCAGAGCTTAAAAAGCCTGTGAGGGAGGTGGCTCTTCCAAGATCAGGATGTCTAAGTAAACCTCTCTGTAACAGCATTTCATATAAAGTCCAGGAGCCAAGCTTTTTAACGATGAAAAGAAGCCACTGTATCTCACTGGCTGGATGCCACAGGTAAAGTTCAACCAGTTCCTGTATTTAGTGCAAAATTCTGGAGTAAGGCTGCAAACCTTGTGGAATAATCTTAAACAGTTCAGTGTGGAGATGTTTTGCAATAGCTAATAGTAGTTAAATAAAGTTAACTACTTCATCAAAAGTAACATCTTCCAGCTAGTCTGAATTTCTCCTGTTCCAACATTACATGCTGCTATGGCACTAGCTGCTGGAAGAAGAATTTTTCTTATTTTTTAAAAAAAAAATCTCCTTTTCCTATAATACCTGGTAAAACAAGTTGTCTTAACCACCACTAAGCAAGACAGAATGCTAGACTAAAAGACAAACAATTTGCAAACTTTTGGTAAGCCTTCAGATAATGTGCAACCATTTTAAAACTCAAATGCAACAGCTAGACACCCCAGCAGTGGTCTCACACATGCCACATTGAGTGGGAGCAGCAATTCTATTGCTTTGCACTACCTTTTCCAACTTTAAATCAGATTTATACACTGCTCAGTGTGTAGTAGTCCAACTTGAAGGAGGTTTGTCCTTATAAAAGTTCATGGCTTGCTGAAAAACTCAAAATAATGAGGTAGAGTAACAAACACTGGGAAAATTATGTCCTAAACTGAGTTTGATTTTCAGAAAACCAACTAGTAGTGTGTGTGTTTATATGTAAGAGGAGATAGAGGACTGAACTTTCTGAAATGCAAAGAGCTCGCTTGGTATCAAGTCAGTATCAACAAACATTTTCTTATCGTCAGTGGAAAAAGGGATGAATTTCAAAAATCAGTATTATAAACATGACTGCTGAGGAAAAGCAGAGAAGTATCACTGCACACATACTTTCTATTTCAGAGGATTACATCATTTCACTTTGTGATGGATAACAGTGAGCTTATTTTTATCTCTTGCTCATCTTAATTAAAAAGGAATTCTGCTAAGATAAATGATTTAGGAGAAAACATCCTTTTGGCTTAGAAAAGTCAGTATGTAAAAACTGCAATTACTTTCTGGTTTAAATGGGACCTCTGAACTGTATTTTACTTAGAAAAAATATATTTTTATGTCAATTTGCTTTGAAAAGCCAGTGGAGTTAAACAACAAGTTTTTACTTTCTTATGGGTCATTACTGTTGACCAAAGCTCATTTCAGAACTTTTATTCCTAGAGTTGATGTCAGACATACAGAAAACTCACTTGACTTTCAGAGGTTAAGAAGCTTATGAAGGAAATTTATTTTTGATATTAAAGGTGGAAAAGACTTACTGGTAATAAACATAGAAAGTGCATCAGGTGACTTCTTTATGTTCACTGTGTAACTCTATATATGTACCACAAAACCATCTGCTTACAAAAACAGGTAAAGAAACTGTCCTCCTTTTTAATATATTAGAATTTTCATAAACTTGAGTCACACATTCAATATAATCCAAGCTTTACACTATCCAAGTACACTGGCTAAACTTTTTTTTTAAAATCCTTAATTACAGTAACTACAGTTAATAAGTAAGGAAAGCTCAGCATGAGTTGATGGGAAGCTGTGAATACAAAATCTGCAAAAATTCCTGGACAAGGTTGTTTTCTTGAAATGCTATCTAAATCAAAGAGAGTAAAGATCTAGTATAAATCTATACAAATCACCCAAGTTGGTTTCTTAAGTCTCAAGAAAGTTTGTTGCTACAGTGGTAGGAAATGGTTTCTGGACAGTGTAGAGGAATCTTCTATTATATGGAAAAGTAAATGGAAACATCCTGTAAAAGAATGTGTACATAATGATGAAGTTATACAGGCAAAAGAGCAAAATCATTTTCAATTGCAAAAGTCAGCATTTTTCATGGAGAATACTAGCTTCTAATCTTCTGCTTCACCTATTTTCCTATTATCAAGAGAATTATCCTTACAAAAGTTCAAATCTTGTATTTTTCAGATTTCATCTTGATTGTATCCCTCTTTTCCAGTTTACATCTCTAGCACCAGCTTTGTAAACATCCTCCTCCACAACAAAGTAGTCTCACCTACCAATACTTCTGCATTTAACATGTTTATTTTCACTGTCTCTGACAAAATTAACTATCACTGCAGTTCTTTACAGATTCAGTAATGATGAATATCAGTTATACAGCCTTTTCCTCACATAATGCACTGGCCCGCCTACACAGGCCTACCTTTAGACTCCCTCAGTCCCTTCTTCCTCTCTGCTTGTCTACAGCTTCTCAAGCTGTGCCAATACTGGTGGACAATACCTCATCCTCTTCTGCAGCCACCACTGTCTGTGAGTCTCTCTGATGCCAATCTAAAAGTTCAACTCACTTCATCTTGATCTCAATCTCTGCTTCTACCATGCTCCAGATATTCCCACATTCATCTTCAATTAGGTCTGTTATAACACAAAGGGTTGTTTTTCTGCTGTTTCCAGAAGTACTAGATCTTTACCTTCTGCTAAAAAAAAGGACTGTACTTCTTGGATTCATTTGAAGGACAGACCCATCTCTAGGCTGATTCTCTGAACACCAGGAACACCCTGCCATTATCTAACAGGTGTGAAGCTCCCTCCCTTCCCAGCAGTTTCCTTGGTCATAGATGGAAGAAGAGCAAGCTGACAGCTGGCTTTCTAACTCCTTCCACAGTTCACATGGCCATTTGCTGGACAACCACCCAGCTGGTCCCTATGGCACCCACCCCTGCTCTCCCAGTGGAACATGGGGCATCAGGTATCACCCTTCCCCCCTAGGTAACATTCCGCACTCAGCTTCCAGGAGGACAAAATCAGATAACCTGGCACTGTCTCAGAGTTGAGCAGTGAACAAGCAATAGTAAAAAATGGGAGTGAAACCAATTGCTCTTGATTGGGAGGATGAAGTCATGTCCAAGTGGGCCTGGGGGCTTGAGGCTGTGTGGGGAATGGGAGGAGGTCACGGTGCCACAGTGGTGACACTCAGGCTAGGCAAGCACAAGAGGACTCACTGACTCAACCAATAATTGTGTGAATGGTATATGAATCACAGCTCTAAAGCAAAGCATTTGTCTCCTGATTTCAGTGTAGGCAGGAGCTACAATGATGGGGGCAGGGGGAACAAGAAAGCAGGAGCAAGCTAGAAGTAATTTACTGGAAGAAGGAAACAGAAGAAACCCCATCACTGTAGACTTTTAACTATGAAGTAGGCACCCAAAAACCCCTAGAAACCATTTAAAGCAAAGGAAAAATACCAGCTGCTATAATATAATTGATCCAAATAAACAGAAGAGGCTGTATTTAGAAAAAAGAATGCTTAAAAATTCCAGCAGGCAAAATAAAACTACTTCTGGAGTCATGTTAATTCCCATGAATTCTCCTTATTCCAGTGAGGAATTTACACCTGAAATGTATTTGCAGCTTTTTTAACATGCACTGGGCTGAAATCCCGGTAAGAATTATTTCTACTTCTCGAAAAAGGATGCTTGTTTAAGAAGATACTAATAGTCTATGCATGTCTCTACACTCCTTTACCCTCTATTATATGATGAAGACTTATCCAGTACAGTACTCACCAAAAACAAAAACAGAGGACTGAACTTTTCCCTACCCTCACCCTAGAACAATTTTCAGGATAATAAAAAAAACAGTTAAACCTAAGTAACTTTTTTTTTCATTTTTGCCAACTGAAAAAAAATTTCAGATTGCGTGATTGTTTCAGAGTGACTTACGTAAACACTACCAAACTACTAACAGACAATTGTCAAAATTCACATAAACATGCACAAAAAATGCAACCCATCAACACTACTGGTCATCTTTTCAGTTAGAGAAACAGGATTTTATTAGCTATCAGGTTCATCCACATTTCAAGATATAATCTAGAAAGTATTTGTAGAGATACCAACATGGACTGAAGTCTCTGAAGGCTCTGATCTAGCACTCTTCAAATGCCCTTCAAGCTGTGACCTCACTTGTGGTACATATGGTTTTATACTCAATACATGGTCCCACACAGGAAATCACCTTTTTTCCTAGGACCATTTATCCACAGTGATGTTCTACCATAGTATTTCTCATCTTGTATGTTCATTATATCTTTTATCTCAAAATACTTAAAAGCACTTACAAGAACTGAGGGAAACTAAGGCCTTTGAAACCCTAGAATCTGAAACAGCACAGTGCTGGCCTCCAAAGAGGTTTAATTTTGGGAGGAAAAGGATTTACTTTCTATTTCCCTCCTCAATGAAGACTAACTCTGGAAAACCCAACATACTGATACTGGCTGATACTGAAACCAGGGAGAGCCTGAATGCCTGTGATGACTGTTAATCTGAATTCCTTTTCCCTAGATAACATTCCTCTTCTTGTAACTTGCTTTTTTAACAAAGGACTGATCAAACTTCAAATACATACAATCAGTTTTAACTTTCTCTTAATGAAAGAGGGAATGCTACAGTACAATATAGTATGAAAATTACTTTTTTGGTACAGCCTGAAAGGTTGTAATTTCCATCAGAGCCTCTTGTAACTCCCACTTGGCAAAGCATCTATTGTCATAGGATGCTCTGAGGAAACTGAGGAATGTGCAAAGAATACGTAATATGTGCCATGTAATTATTAAGTATGAATTCCCTTAGGCACAGGACACACTTAATAGCAACTATTCCAAAGATCTGCACATGGGGATTCTACCTCAGAAAAAAGGTATGTCACTTGCAAAAGGAATACACTTCATAGCTAGCAAGACTCAGCTAGTCAGAAACATCACGTCAAAGATGCTAAAAAAAAAACAAAAGAGGAGACCTTGAGGGATACATCTATAGAAAAATATCCATCTCTGGAAGAAAAGGGAAGAAATCATGCAGTACAGCTCAAACGAGGCAGTCAAGTACAGAAGGCATAGACTGAATTTCCCCTTTGCTAATAGTGGGTATCTTTTCAGAAAATCTATAAAAAAGGCATCTTACTCAAGAACTAGGCTTGATTTTTAAGACAGAACCTGCAAAGTTTATGCTGAAGCTTAAGCATATTTTATTCTGATTCATTGATGAGGAACACAGACATTTCTAAAATGAATCTAAACACCATTTACAGTTTTCTAGAGGAATAAACTTTCCAGTTGACATTTTATTATCAACATAGCATCAGGGATACTTACTCATGCTATGCTCACTGACATAATAGACTGGTTATGTGATCTCATGCTCAGGGACCAAAATTAAATTCCCTTCAGGCAACAAAGACTTTACAAATTGGAGAACTGGTGAAAATTACAAACTATTTGTTTTCTGGCTGAATTTCCGACCTTTGCTGTTCAGACTAGGTGACCCAAGGTGACTCTTGATGGGCAGACCTCAGTATGTCAGCATAGATTTTTCCTGCAGGCTGGTAATTACCACCTCTGCTTTCTGTACTACCTACTCAGAATAAATAGCAACACAAGCAGCTAGCAAACTTCTTCCCAAAGTTGTCAAAGACTGCACAAGCAGAAAATTCATCTGAAACAGGACACCCTAAAATAAGGCTTGTATTCTCAACACATGTGAATTCTTTATTTGGATAAATAGGAACTGCAAAGTTTAAGCTGGCTTATAAACAAAGCACTCTCAAGCACAGCACTTTATCTAGAAAGTCTTCACTACAGAATCACCAATTAACTACCAAAAGGATATTCCACAGGTCTCCTGATCAAAGTAGAGGATCTCTGTTTAGCCCTCCAGTATGATGTGACAGCTTCCAAGGCATTTCATGGAAAAGATATTAGCTTTTTCCCTTTGTTCACTGCCCCTCAATCTGAATACACACACGTCAAAATGCAAACACTGTTAAGAGGATTTTTACTTACAAGAGTAGTCAGAACTACTCTTCACCCCACATACACTCTGCATTACATAACACTGTTCCGAGTTTAAGAAAATGCAACTCTTTGATTCATTTGCACGGTGTAAGTCCACTTCCAGTATCATTGATCTCATTTTAAGCACCAGAAAGGGCCCTTATTTGGACAGAAGGCTGCCCAAGTTCCAATTCACTGCAGCACTACACTACACTGCTGCACATTATTAGAGTGCTCCCATCTCCATCCTCAGAATGTCATGGCCTGTGCGAGAGATTTCTTGATCCTTACACTTATTCCACAGAACTTTCCAAGCTGTGCTTTCATTGACTTTGAAACGCTTTAGTAATTAGGTTGTCTTAAACAGGGAAAACAATAAACATATTAGTAGCTATGCGTCTCCCAGTGTGATATGAACACTCACAGGGGAAGGTTTTTTCCTCATCTCAAAGGTCCGAGTAGCACCAAAGCTGAGTGAGGCAATGACAGGATTTTTCCCCAGTGATGGCTCGTTGTCACTGTGCCAGTCCACACTGTCCTTCTCATTTCGGTAGAGGTTGCAGAGAAGAGAGTTGAAGGTGTAGCCAGTGAACTCTTCAATGCGCTCCTTCAGCATGGTCAGCAGAGGATGCCACTGCAATCAGCACACAGGGACATGTAAATGCATGAACACAGGCTAGGGGCAGGTAATGCAAGACAGAAGGCAAAAACCACTAAGAAACAAAATATGCTGCAGTTTAATCACAATAAACTCAAAATCAAACAAATTACAGTAATTCTGATGATATTTTTAGTAGAGCAGAGGAATGGGCTGGGCTTTCTGCAAAATATGCACACGTTACCCACCACTCAATACTAAATCATCTCTTAAAACTCTGAAGCCAGGCAGCCTTTCATGCTAATGGAGGCAATCAGTGACTAAATGACACTGCTCTCAATTGCCTGCAGCTGTTGACAGAGAACAAGAGGAAACGGTTGGCATAACACAGCCCTCTGTCCCCACTCTGTTAGCACAGCTTGTTGAGCTCAACTCATCACCTCTTGGGGTTTTGACTTTGACATTGTAACTCTTCAGTGGGTCACAAACCCAATGTCACTGGGTCCTGGATTTCATTCTTTCCTTTGCTAACATCTTGCTGAGCCCACAGGCCAAGGAAGGTCTGTACATTCCATTACAAGTCAGTTCAGTTATTTAATGTTATGAGTTACATCATTACTTTCATCTGTCAGAGTGCTTTCAAGAACTTCACAAATATATTATTAAAAAAAAAAAAAAAAGCCAAAGCAATGTAGGCCAGAATTTTTACCCATTATATAAGCAGAAACAGAGAGCAAGAGAGGACAAGAAACTGATTCCAGATCTCCCAGTGTACCACTGGCAAAAGAAGCAACTGAGAGAGAGCTGGAAATATTTTCTAGTATCCACCTCTAATAAACAAGGCTGCATTACCTTCTTTCCAAGCTTCCCCAAGTTTAACAGGTACTTAATTTATTGGTTACACTGCAGGGGCCTCAGCATACCATTTTTCTCTCATGGGGTATTTCTAACTAAGTCATGCCTTCAACCATTAAGCATCATGAGAGTAATTAATTCTAGGTAAACACAGCTTGCAGTCATGGAACATGTTGGGAAAGCAGTAATATCATCCAAAAAAAGTTTGCTCCGCAACTGGGCTGCCTGAATGTGCAGAAGAGTCCAACAAGAATTATTGAGAGCCCTTTTCAGTGATCAAGACTAAATTTCTTCAATTCCCATCACAGAAGTATGTATTAATCAAATGTTACCATACAGTGAATTTTACAATGTAGTTGAAAGTCCACTACAACCTGCAGCAGAGTAGTTTTGTTAACAAAACTCTATCACTGCTTACAGAGAAGCATTTTCTAACAGCAAAAATCATTGAGGCACAAACACTGGATTATATCTAGAAGTGCTGCAATCACACCAATTCTTACCAAATGAAAAAGGAGGGCACAAAGCTAATTACTCCTACAGATCTAGTGTTTAAGGGAGTAATCAGTTTTGGCTAAGCTGGGCACTAAATTACATTTTAATCAGGTCAGTTTTGTGCTAGAAACCCTGTTCTAAAGGCAGGGACTGTGATCTTTATACCATCCCCTATTTTCTAAGCTGCAGGTACTCCCACCTGCAAAGCTGTGTGAAATACCAGTGTCTGTGTGCAGCGTACTCATAGATCTGCCTATGAACAAATTCCAGCCAGGGAAGGAAGGGCTATGCAACTTCTCCAGTGCATCCCTCTTTTTGCTTGAGCTTCTTTCTCTCAGTAAAAAAACAGAAATAAAAGACAGAACCAGCCTGAGTAACTTATTTAGGCATTGTACCTTTTGGATGAGAGAAACAAGCCAGTGGCCCAATGAGCACTCAGAACTTGATGCAAAGTGAAATGAAACCTCGAATTCAGGGCATATGGGCTCCATTCAATCTCTGAACAGCAATGGATTTCACACCAGGCAGTTCTGAACTGGATTTAAATCATTAGTGTACAACAGAATGATTTTGTGAGGGCATTTCCAATCCCTAAAGCCATTCAGCTTTCAGAAAAGCCAACTGAAAATAGTATCTCACAAATGAGTACCAAAGAAATGCTTGTTTTTCCACCACAAGTTCCGTAGGCCATAGAATTTTTAACTACAGTATTTTTGAGACTACAAAATCTTCACAACTCATCATGTTAAATATCGCCTTTCCAACTCTTCCCAAACATCCCACTTTGGCAGCAGTTCTGGGACTTGGGACACTTTTCTCTCATGCTATCCAGCTTTCAACAGTGACACCTAATTACTGCCGTGGAAATTTTAAACAAAGCAATACCAAGAGACAGGCTGATGGGACAACAGGCTGAGAGAGGGGGAGGGAGAGAAAACATGAACAAAACATCACTGAGTCACTCAGAAGGTTTTTAACTCTTCCAAAACAGTGTGGGAAATTACATGCTACAATCTGGAACTGCTGAGCAGATGAGCTCCATGTGTGAATTTCATAGCATCCACACAGGGATTATAATATGCCTAAACTTTCATTCCAGCAGTATTGAACCTAAGTGTTTCTGAAAGCAACTGGCATTACTGTATCTTTACAACAAAAAAAAATCAGTATGACTGTGTGCAATACAATAATGCTTGAACTAAGTAACACAGAGCAATTTAGAGTTTTGCACAGAGCTACAGTGACCCAAAGCAAAATTTTAAACTCCAGAGCAGTAACCTGCTTTTGGTCACATTTGGCAACTAAATCACGCTGCTCTCAGTCATCTCACTCAAAGTGTATTGTATAAAACTGACCACTTTCCAGTATAATCTGCTGCTGATCACAAATGAAATGCTAACAGATTCTCTAGATAACGAGAATAGAGGGAATTTTTGTCTCTTGATCTCTGCAAAGGATTTCTCTGTAGACAATAATAAATCACATACAAATACATACATACATTTGGATTTGGCTGCATTGTTATCCTGGAGTATGTGTAAGGAAGTTCCCCATACCAGGATGTAAGCCGTGGTTCCTCAAAAGATATTTCTGAAAAAAACAAGAAGACTTTCTCAGTTGCCTTATCAAAGGATTTGAAAACGGAAATATGATGTAATTCTACCAAGACACTTAATCAAAAAGAGACTGTCCATTCACCTAAAGAGCAGCCCCTTAAAATCCTCAGCTTTATATAATGAACTCAAATGAAGAAATTAAATTCTTCAAAATCAGGTGTGCATCTGCAGGAGGAATTACCTTGCCAAAATCGTGGAAACATATCAATTTTCTTACCCCTAAATGCCAGACAGAGCAGGGACTGGATGAGTTAAAGATAGCAAACAAAACTGAAATTTTATCTTGTTTTATGTTCACTTGGTTCTGGTGCCCAGTATCTTGGCGTAAGTTGCGAGATTCAGATGGACCACTGGAAAGGGTGAAGTAGAAAGGACTGTAGCATCCTTGGGACATTACAGAAACAAAATGTAGGAAGGCTGGACACAGTATTTTGTCAAATATGTGTGTGCTCTGTGCTATAACACAAACATCAGGTTAAAAAATATGCTCAGCTTTTGAAAATACTACCTTGGCAACTATTTCTCATGCTTGACAGGTAGCCTTCTCCATTACACTGTTCCTTTATTGCCAGCCAAGAAACACACATGTTGAAGACATTTTCCAGCCCCATCTAGTAACTACTCTGACACATTATCTTATATCAGCTCCTGACTGAAAGTGAAATTTAGCTAGAACAGGTGCCCCTTAGTGAACAAATCCAGAATAGCAGCCTCTTCTCCTGATACATATTAGAACTAATAACTAAAACCGAAGGAAAACGAACAAGCTCTGCTGGCATTTTCAGTAAAAGAGGCAAAAAATATACCTCATGAAGAAATCTCCAAGAATACAGTTTTTGCAGCATTGCTGGGAGATTGTAGGATGGTGGCCAGACTTAATGTTAAAAAATGAGTAAGAAAAAAAACTGGAGATGACAGAAGAGACGGTAAAATTCCAAGATTTTTAAGACAGGCAACTTTAATTTGGAAAGATCTCATTTAGTTGGCAATAGTAACATGGTATTAGAGATTGAAAAGTAAACTGTGGTAGTCTTCAGATATGCATGGAAAACCTGCACAGAAACTTGAAAAAGTGCTAACACTGAAAATGAAAACCAATTCTGAACAGCACACAGATTCTGTTATGGAACTGACCTGTGAATGCCCTGAAAAGGTGATCTACAAACTCCTTACCCTGTCTGATGTGAGTTCGCTGACCCCAGGGTATGTCTTGGAGGAGTTGCTCAAACATCCAGTCTGCTTGTTCTGAGTCAATAAAGCCAGGAATCAAATGAATCCTAAGGAGGAAAAAGAAAAATGGAAGGAATATACATTTCTGTATCTGCTTTGGGAAAATATTATCATTTTGAGGATTCCCAAAGGAGTTAAAAATGGCTATAATGCATCATATCAAAAGTCAAAGCCCAGTATCCCGTTTCTGACAGCCAAAAGCAGGCGTGAAGAAGGGCTCCCGTTGAGTCTTACCCTCACCAAATGTAAGGAATTTCTTTTTAAAACTTATAAAAACACATGAAAACCAACAATATAGCATAAATTCCATGATCAGCCATATGCTGTGAAAAATGGCAACTTTCTCCCTTGTTATTAATTTCACATCTGATAAATCAGATAGACCTGATTATTACAATACCATCAACATTAAGTAAACAATTGCCCTTTATTCACCATCTCCACATCACTTAGAATTGGACAGCCCTTTATCCCTACTGCCATTCCTGTTCTCTTTTTCGAAGCATAAAGAAAAGTATTTAGCATAAGGACAGTATTTAACGTCTCCTGTTTTTCATTTCCATATGTACCTGTAATATGTTGATTGGACCAACAGTCACCCAAGAATTACAGTCACTGTGGTGGGCTGCATAGTAGGAATGCTGCTAACAGCAGTTTACTCTCACAAGCATTCCATGCCCCAAAGATGTCACAGTAAGAGTATATGGTAAAGGTGTTAAAAAAAGATGCAAATCTGATAATTAACTTTCCAGAAAAATATATATTCCATCAGAGTATTATAAAAACAAACTCCAGAAAGTGCAGGATAACCCAGCCGATTGTGTATTTTGTCTCTTTCCAGCTGGCCAAAGCTTTTATTTTTGAAAATGCCTTAAAGATTTATTTGCATCTTTAGAAGAAACTGAGATGAAGACACAAAAATAGAATAATACAATAATCAGAAGAAATTAAATGCACAAAAAAAATAGTATGTTTTTGGCATTTTTTTCACTGTTAATGAAAGCCTATCAAATTCAAAAGAAGAGGATTAATACTGATATTGCAGCTAAGTCAGCAAGGTAAAATGTACTTTAGTTTGTAGGAATCACAGAACAAGTAGGTTTTGTTTTGAAGTGTCCTGAAGCTGAAATAATTAAGGCATGGCATATAAGCACATGAGCTTACCACAATTGCCTAAAGTTAAATGCTTTCATTAAATTTATTTGAAACAATTCCGAGTTACAGCTAAAAGTTTTGGGCTGCTTTTAACTGTACAAAAGACATCACACAGGAATACAGATCCAAATTTGCATCAGCAACTTACTGTGAATCATGACACAAATGGCCAATTGTCCTTATTCTGGAAAGAGCACTGGATGGAATACACACCAGATGTCAAGAGGTTTCTTTTTCTTCTCTTCAGTGCTGCTCAGAACCATCTCTGTCCCTGCTAAGTGTCACTCAAAAGTATTTCCAGAAGTACTCTAAACAGACGATGCACAGGAAGTGCCATGTGCAGAAGTCAAAACCCTCTGCAGAGACTGGACTTCAAAAAGGTGAGCATTACCACATTACTCTGCAAAAGCAAATTAGCATTTCATCCACATACCTAGAAATGCCAGTTGGTCCCTTGCTGAGCTCATACACACCCGGCTTGCTGAGGATGTAGAAAGGAAAGAGCCATCAGAAAGACAAACAATAAATTAGCTCAGACTGAGCAGCACAGACTATAATTGCTGTAGGCCTGGATTAGGGAAAGGTTTTCTTTAAAAGAGAAAAGAAAGTTAGAAAAGGGAAGAAATAATGTCCTGGACATAAAGGTCAGAGTACAGCAGCAAGGCATGCAAGCAAATGAGTTTGCATGTACTTCCAGTCCCTCCCTTCACCAAAGGCTCAATACAATTTTAGGGCTCTTAGAAAAAAATAAAAGAGATGTCACAGGGAACCTAAGGGAGACAACCATACAGGACTGCACTCAGATCACTAGAAAGAAAATTCTGAGAAAGAAAATTCTACCAAGACAGCCAAACTCAACCAAGCTAGATTTTCAGTATCTCTGACTCCACCATGCACCACCACACTTTCTCAGGCTTCATGCCAAAGTTATCCTGACAAGTTCCCTATTTCAATACAAAGGGTAAGTGACATACAAATACCCAGATTCACTATGAAATTTACTATTAGCTACTTCTCTGAGTCCTGAAAGAAGCTACCATACCAGCTATATTTTTTCCAGAGTAAGTAATTTCTAGCATAGTTTACACTGGGACTGTCCCAGGGAAATGTACACTGCTAACCAAAGGAGACATACTGGCAATTGTGCTGAACCAGAATGTTCAACTGATCACGGCTACTGGCTTCCCACCTATACAAAAGGCATAAAAACCAGTTAACAGACTTGGGCTCTCCTAATAACACATTCAGCTCATGATAAAAAGGTTAGAAGTCACAAAAACAATTTCTACTCTTACCAACCACGAGGACAGAAAAAGCACAGAGAAATCAGCAGGGTACTCACTCTATCACACCTGCCTCAGGAACTCTGCGCTCCACCTGAAAGGGAACAAGACAGTAAACAGTGAATATTAAAGTATCTGGCACTCTCCAGTCAAGCATCATCTCTAGTGACTCTGTGTAGCCACACACTGATAAACCAGTGAGAAAAACATACCTCGGGGCAAGAGGGAAGCAGTAACAGCTCAACCATTCCCTCCTTGTCCCAGAAACTCTCAAATGCAGCTACCAGTGCAGGCTGGTTTTTAGCTATCAACTGCCCCCTAAAGGACACTGATTTCTAAATTATTTAGACTATTATAGTACTTGCTATTTATCAACAGCAATCAAGAAAATTCTTATTTTCATATTTAAAAAATAACCTTAATATAAGGAAAAATTCAAAGCCACCCTAAGAAGCATGAACAAACTGCAGGCCTCAGTCAAATGAGCAAAACACAAAAGATCACACATAGCAAGAGCTTACACTGTAAAGCTGTCTGCACAGCTGAGATAGCTGTATTTTGTTAAGAGACAGAGTAGTTTAATCCAGCATTGGCTATCATGCTGGTTGTCTAAGGGATTTATGCTTCCCTTCTCTGAGCTCAGTGGAGTTCTGATTTCCAAGGAGTTACTGCATTGAGCCAAGAGGATCAAAATACAGTACTACACAGATAGCAGGTCTCTGCCACAGGGGAAGAGAATCTTCCCAGGCCATCTTCAATGCTTCCAAGCCCAGATGACAGCCTTTCAAAAAGGTCTAGCTTAGAAAGAAGTGCTCATGAGTGTTTTTTATCCCAAGCAAGGAAGTTCCCATATGCTGCATAGAGCACAATATCCTTCATCAGCTGATGGGACAAAGTCTATAAAACAAGTCCCATGCTCTTCCCCTGTAACAAGTTAAGACAGAGACCCCACCTGAGGAAAACAAGAAGAGCTCAAACACACTTAGGACACTGCAGACTGAATATTTAGTTGAACATATTCTTTTAGCTCTCAAAAAAAGAGTAGTTATGAACAGGCTAAACAGAAGGACTTTCTGTTTGCCATATATGCAAAGCAATTACCAACTCCATTAGCAAAAATTCAAGGCTCAGCTCTGATTTTAAACAATGAACTATATTCTCAAATAATTTTTACCTATCATTTGAAGTTTTGTAACAGATAAGATTCTGCTAGTTACTCTGTAATTTTTACCTCTGATGGCTTTTCAAAGACAAATTGCTTTTGATTGTGAGGCTGCTCTTTCTGTCTCCATGCTGGTCTTGCACCTGCAAGGGTGAGGCTGCTGGCTACAGGTGCCTTAGGTGCTAAAACAAGGAAGAAAAGAGCACATGAACTGATTATCACCATACTAAAAATATAGTAAGGAAAAGCTTATGGAATCATTCCTTGGCAGAGACTTCAGGAAATTGCCAAACCTAAGAGTTAAAACTGCACAGGAACTGAAATATATGTATTTGTTATTCATGGACAAACACAACTGAAAACATACTTTTATCTGAAAGGATGACATCCTTTAACTTTTCAATTCTACAATAAATACCTATCACATACCAGCAGAAATTGTTCCATGCAGCTAAGCTGCTTCCCTCTGTATTCCTTTTCTTCGAAAAAAACCTTCTATTAAAACAGAATTTTTAAACCAGCAAGAAAGTGGAAGAGCAACTTCGGAACAACACTTCAGGTGTTTTATTTACACAGGCTTTAAAGTGGGCCTGAAACACAGACAAAGTCTTCACTCTGCATAATTTAAACAATGGGGATTTTTTTTTTAATCCCGTTGGGAACAGAAGCAATGAAACACACGTGACAGAAAATTTTGAGGCCACATGCAGAAGTCAAAACAGTTGGCTATTCTCTTTCATAATTTAAAAAAAATATCAGCTTGCCTAGGATGCTCAGACCGCAGAGATATAGGAGCTTTAGGGAAACTACAATCAGGTGAGTGAAACCTGTTTTGAGCATGTTCACATAAACAAACCAGTTCCTCCTGCCAGACTGGAAACCTCCTAAGTGCTCCTCTGCCTCTGCACTCTTTGGTTTCAGTGTTTGTTAGAAAACCCGCGAGGCTAACTCCATCCCTTCCCACTACTTCTCTTTATTTTACAATGTTTTCCCCGTGAAAAGCTAAACGTTGGTACATAGCGCGTTTTAAGGACAAGAAGTGGCTGGCTGTTCTTAGAGTCAGCTCCGCCGAGCACTACGGGTCTCACTCGAGCTGCCCTCGGCGCGCTCGCCGCAACACATCCGTACCCGCCTCCTGCCGCAAAATCGCCGCACCTGGGGCACAGGCGCCGATTTTACTTAAAATCTGTGTTCGAACACCTGCAGCTCAGCTAGCGACGGGAAAAGGGGAAAGGGGCCGGCCCTCGGGGCGGTCGGAAAGTGCAGCCGGAGAGCGGGGCCCTGCCTGCCGCTCGCCCCGCCGCGCCCAGCCCGGCAGCGGAGGAGTCCCGGCCGCCGGGAGGGACGGGAGGACAGGGAAGGAAGGACAGGGAAGGGAAGGAAGGGCGGCTGCTGAGGACGCTCCTTACCTGCGGGCAGCCCCGCCGGGCCGCCGGCCCAGCCGCCCTGCACCCGGGCCCGCCGCCGCCGCTCCGCCATGCCCGGCCCGGCCCCGCCCCGCCCGCAGCGCCGCAGCTAAAGGGCCCGGGCCGGGCAGCCAGCGGCGCCCGGTCCTGCCGCTCCCACAAGGGATGCCAACACTCCGGGTTTGCCTGGCGCCGCTACGATAAACATTATTGAACAGCGAGGGACGGGACTGATGCCACCAGAAACCCCCTCCTGTTTTCTGGCGTGTTCAGGGTAGTCCTAAGGGCGTGGACAGCTATTAAGAAGACATCACCCCTATCACTGAGATGAACAGACATTCAAAATCAAAGTCGAGGTAATTCAGGTTAAGGTGTAAGTAAAATTTAGGTAAAAAATTAGTTTAGTGATTCCCCGCTGCAGGGTGGAAAATAGATGACATTAGGGCATGAGAGGGGGAACCCAGCCTGCAGCCTGACAGCACCTGAAGGGGGACCAGGGGTGCTGAGAACCTCCTTACCTGGGCACAGTGCATACTATTCCCTCTGCCATACCTTACTGAAGACCTTCAGTAGCTAGAAAATAGTTATTTGGAAAAAATTATGTGTTAATAGCTTGACAGTTCTAATAAAATTTGTGTTCTGCTTGTTTAAAGTATCAACACTGTAAAATCATAGAATATCCTGAGTTGGAAAGGATCCACAAAGATCATCTTAAGTTCAACTCCTGGCCTTGCACAGGACAGCCCCAAAAATCACACCATGTACTTTTTGAGAGTGTTGGCCAAACACTTCCTGAACTCTGTCAGGCTTGGTGCCATGATTACTTCCCTGGGGAGCTTGTTCCAGTGCCCAAACATTCTCAGGGTGCAGAACTTTTTCCTAGTACCCAACTCAAACCTCCCCTGACTCAGCTTCATGCTGTTCCTTTGGTTCCAGTCACTGGTCACCACAGAGATCAGTGTCTGCCACTCCACCTCCCCTTGTGAGGAAGACCACGAGGTCTCCTGTCCGTCTCCCCCAGGCTGAACAAACCATGTCACCTCAACTTCTCTTCATAAGGCTTCTCCTCCATGCCCTTCACCATCTTCACAGTTGTTCTCTGGACACTCTTCAGTAGCTTTGTATCTTTCTTATATTGTGGCACTCAAAACTGCACACAAAGTATTCAAGGTGAGGCCACGCCAGAGCAGAGCAGAGCAGGAGAGTCACCTACCTCAAGTGGTCAGAGATGCTGCCTAAAGCACCCCAGATAGGGGGTAGGTGACAGCCAGGAAAACAGATTAATATAAGCATTGTTTCTGACATGCAAAAGTACAGTGATTTTCACTGTTATTACTTATAATAAAGGACAATCAGACACTTGAATGTACCCGCAAACATTTTTACAAGAAAAACCTAACACATTAAAGACTCAAGAGTAATTTCCATTTAATTTGTTTTACAAAGTCAAGAACATACAGTTTTTTTAGTCCAATGCTTTCACATCAGATCCAGAGCAAACAAAATCATGTGCTCTTAGAGAACTAATACCACCACCTTCACCATCCCTGTTCCAAAAAATTAAGAAAACTATGGGATAGGATCTGCATCTCAGATTTGATCAGCACCATTGCATCGGTATTCAGGTTTTTTCAATGTACAGAAATGTTAGCCCCAAATCATGTCTCAGTCCAACACATCTTACTTCAAAATCAGAGCTTGAAATTATTCTTTGAAGAACAGAAAAAACTTCCCCTCTTCAACCATAGGAAGTTACCATAGAAAACAGTGGTAGCTGCTTACAATTTCATTTGCCTTGCAAGTTTTATACATTTTATATTTATAAAAAGGAATGCCAGAGACCAAAATCTTTAATAAAGTGTAGGTAAATACAGACAACAGCAGTGCAGACTTCTCATGTACTCTGATTCCTGTGTCCAGCAGTTAGGTAACTTGAGCCTCATAGGAGCATTCCATTTTAGAACAGAACCATGAAAAAAAATCAGTTAATTTTAAGCAATTAAATTAAAACTGTTCTACTCTTTAAGACATTTCCTGGTTCTCATTTTTAAAGCCATCTAAATATTCAAGAGTCACATTTCAAAGGACCTCACCAGACTGATAAATATTTCAAAAATATTTTCACCACCAGGAGAGTAAGTCGTTTCAAGCTCTGCATTTAAAGTACCCATAATCTTTTACATAGCAACCAGCATGTAACATGTAACTTGTGACATTTATCTACATTGTGTTATCACCACCTATTACAAAGAGCAGGCACTGAACTTTTAAAAATGTTATTACAAATCATGAAGATTACATATTACTGAAAAGTTAGAATCCATATTCAAGACCCAAGATTTTAAATGCTTTTTGCAATGTTACTTTATGTATATATTTATAGATGAGCTTTTACACTTATTTTGTTTTTTTGGCCCATTTCCCTCAAGTTCCTAACCAAAAAAAAAATCACACTGGACCATGTAAGCAGGGAAGAGCTCATAAGCTGACTGATAGTACAGAATCCTTGCAAGTATCCAAAACCTGACCTTCAGGTCAATACTCTGGAAATAATACTAGGTTGCCTTTTTAAATAATTATGCTCCCTTTCCTCTCCTGCCCACCTGTCTGGGAACATATGAGAACTACTTTTTTCCTGCCCTTCACCCATGAGCACAATAATAGATATGATGGACACTATATAACCAAGATGTTCCTCAACAGCGTGATGTCTGATCAAGCCCATGGAAGTATTTCGTAAAGTCAATGCGATTTTAGTTCAAAGCACTTCCCCCTCATAGTATCTATAAACAAATAAAGCGCATTTTCTAATCAATATTAGAAGTCATCAGTCTTGTTTCATCTGCATCCTCAAAACAAGACTGTTCTCTTGTTAGAAAGCACACCTACGATTGGAGATGTTTAAAACATTAGGTCTACTTGATGTTGCAGCATGATGTGGAACTTGCAGGAGTCTCACGTTCCAAAGACTGGGTTTCTTCTTCCCACTTACTTCTCCTTCATTTTTTTAAAATAACGAGCCCGTATTTGTTTGTTTGTTTTCATGATTAAGTTAATGGCAGTAGATGTAGGTAGAAGAGAGATGACCCATCCCTAAAAAAAAAAAAAAAAAAAAAAAAAAAAAAAAAAAAAAAAAAAAAAAAAAAAAAAAAGGAAAAAAGAAAAAAAAAGAAAACAAAACTAATTAAAATAAAAGGAGGGGGTGAGGTCTCAGCATTTTATAACCTGTACTAATTACTCTTTTTTCCATAATAAACACAAAGGAATTTCAGATCCTTACATTTTCCAAGGTGACTTACCATGAGTGCATGAGGTAGGTACCCATTGGTCTGGGACTGCAGGCCCACTGTGCCCAAGGCAGCTCTGACATACGTTTCAGGACTGGGTTTATCGAGGGTTGCCTTGCGGATTTTGGACATTTTTGTTGCCACATAATATGGTAGAACACTCTGCACACAGGAAAACTCATGTTAAGCAGGGAATGCTTTCAAGATAACTTACAGATCCATCAAGGATCTAAAGTAACAGGAAATCAGATAATCTGTACACCAAATTCTAGATTAAGCCAGCCTTATTTTCAGTTCTAAGATCACAATGGGATCCCAAGAGAAAATCAAGAACTTTTTAATCAGATAACCCATGGGTTATATTTGGACATAGTTCAGTTGTCTCCTGATTGTCAACATCACCAGCTAGAGCCCTAGAAAAAACACTCTTGCAAGTGTAGGGTTGAAAAGCCATTCTTACAATTTCATGTGTAAGCACAAAACTTCATTCCAGTTGTTTAATAGAAAATGCTGCACTGTTGCTTCTCTGTAGTAAACCCCAACATTTGTTTGGAAAGGAGGTGCAGAACCCAAGACAGGAATTCCATAGCAAAAGCTCCTCAGCTTGGCACCTGTACAAAGACAGGAGGAGGAAGGAAAAACGAATGTCCAGAGACTTGAAACACAGAGCTTGTAACTCTACAGGAGGGCTCAGAGGACAGAGGAGATCACCAGTACCAGAGTGGAAGGACAGAAGGAAGGATCAAGAAGCAGAGCACAGTTAATGAGCTTTTACAGCCATGTTTGGAAGCAAAACAGAAAAGCGATGCTGGGTCTTAAAACTGTCTGTAGAAACAAGAGGAAGCAGCACAGATATATGTTGATGGAGGGATGCTGATAGCACAATGGCATGTCCATGGTAGGGCAAGATAGACCTGGAGGATCCAAAACCTCATTCCACCTATCCCAATCTCATGCTGCTGCAGAAGGAAAGGGAAATACACATGTACTTGTACAGTAGGAAGCAATATTCTTTCCTCATGGTCGTGTTTTCAGCAATGCTTTCAACTTGCCCTCAATTTTTGCCTCTAAAAAAGTAATCAAAAAATCCTGGTCTACAACCCTGAAACAAATATTAAACATACCATAACTCAACACACCTAGAGAGATTGGAACTTCACCACCACTCTGACAAAGACCTCCTAAGACACTGTCAGTGGCTCTAGCAGTGATTCAATACATCCATCCACTACTAGCGAGTGTTTCCACTGCCGTACCTTAACAGCAAGTGCCTGAGAAGTGTGTGTCCACTTCTGCTATACTACTTCATCTCCAAATGAGAATGTCATCTCAAAAAACAGTCTATTTGGGCAAACTGCAGTTTGTAAACCTGCTTCCCCATGTTAATCTCTTAAAGAACAACAATACATACCTGACCTCAGAAACATCTGCTGCTGCTCTCAGCAGCACAGTAGGTTTTCATTGAGTGTGCAACCATGCCATGGCTGTGCACATTTCAACAGAAATTTTACCACCACAAACAGGAAACATGTCTGTTCATTCCTTCACCTGAGAACATGAAAACTGTGCCCTTCTGTCTAGATAAATAGGATTTTCAATAACATACTACATGAGTCCACTTTCTAATGGGAAGGAAAAACATGGAGACCCAAACTTCAGAAGTGAAAGCAGCTATCATTGCCTTTGAAGTCTGCAAAATCTATAAATGCTTGGATAGAAAAACTACTCATTCTGCTACCATAGCAGCATAGGTACCTCATTTCAGCTCCAGAATGTGCACTGCATC